GCTGCAGCTCCTCCTCCTCCTATAGCATCGTTTCCATTCGGTTCGCTGATCTTCTTCTCCGGCTGATCGGCAACTGTCGCCTTATAAATCGACGATTGGCTCGTCGACCCATTCCCATTCACAGTGGTCCCACTAACATTCAGCTGCAGTGCAGCACTTGCCACCGCTGTCGTCTCTGCAGTAATCGTCGTATTGGCTGATGGATGCGTTGATGATGGTGCCGACAGTGTGTCACTTGTCAGAAGCGTCGGTGGATTCGTCTGAAAAGTCTGGAAATTGAAATAGAGGGCTCTATCATTTCCCCGGATCGTACGTTTGAATAGGCGCGGAGTGTGGTCGAAGGTTGATGAGCAAGTGGAGCGAACGCCGTCAGCGGGTAGATCCCATTTCGGACGTCGTCTAGAAACTTTTCCAGGTCGACTTGAAACGCGGCTACTTGACAGTAAGCCATCTCTCGGAGTTTCGATGTGGCGGCAATCTGAAATTCATTTAAGATCCAATTAGTCTAAACATCGGCTCAGTCAAACAAGAGCACCCCAAGAGTGACCGCCGACGTGTCAAATATTGACTCTTTACTATAAAGAGAGGGCGAAGAGAAACTATTTCCCGTCCTAATTCGTCTACAACCAACCTGCTCATTGTCCTTTATTCGAAACGCGCTCTCCGGAACATCCTCGTACTTTTTCGAGTCCACAATCGAATGAGCCGATAGCAGTTTCAATGAATGTACCTGAAGTTTAAATGATCTCAAGAATCGATGCCCACTGAATCCCACCTCAAAAAGAATCTGATGAAACAGAAGCTCTCTTGCCGACGGCCTCTCTGCTGGATCCTTTCTCAAACACTGTCTTATAAAATCCTGTTGCATCGGATCTTCCAACGACCGTATCGCCTTCTCAATCACGTCTTCTGTCACCGGTCCCTCGGAACTTCCATTCTGACACCCGGACAGTCCTCCAATCACCGCAATCTCCAGCGAACAGATTCCAAATGAATAGATGTCGGCAGCCGAAGTGAGCTCAGTGTTGTCTAAAACTTTACAGGGGGATAAAGAGAAGGGGGCGGGGCTTATTTTTGGTTCCTACTTTCATATTCCGGTGCAATGTAGTGCATGTATCGCATATTCTCTCGGCACGTCTTCACATGATGGTTTATCGCGTCGGGTGCTACTGAAAATTGTATTTTTTATTTTATTTTAGGGGCGAAAGGTTGTAGTGAAGTGCTGGAAAACTGGGGATAGGTAAGAGGAAAGTGCAAATTCGCTCCTTTGAAGAAGTTAATAGGAAATATTCACAAAACACAACATCAACGTCTTCTAGATCTCTTCGTCTCTCATCTCTCTTTTTTGCACTTTTCCTACAAGTTCATATTTCTTTTCTATCTCTTTGCACTGATTGTGCCATCATCTCATCATTGCTCATCTCTCGCGCCAGGTACCCATTGGAACGGCAAAACTCTCTTTCTCTCGAAATCAACAAACAAACGCGTCGGTCTCGTACTCCGCATTACTGCTCAATGGCTCTATGGGCTCAGCAGATCCGTGAAAAGAGTTTTTGCTCGAAATCTAATCAGCAAACAAATTGTACCACTATCACAGGGCGGTATCGGTTTGTGGCAAAGAACGGAGCACAAATAGGCGAAAAGCTGCTCAAGACGATTTTACTTTTGTAAAATAGTACGTTCCGTGTTTTGGGGGCCCTATCAAAGGGGTCGACAGATTTCAGCGTACTCGGATCCCCCGAATGTTAAGCTAAAGGAAATAGGGAAGATCGGGAATTTTCGGATGATTGAAAGGGGCTAAATGTGAGTGTACTTTGGAGAAGGTGTCAAAAGTGCAGAAGTTTTATGGGTTCAAAGTTTGAAAACCTTTTTTGAGATTTCCTAATTCTAGACTTCACAAAAAACATCCAGAATTTAGATTGGCTCAAAGAAATCTATACTGAATTAGAGCTATTTTCCAGTATTTACTCTAAAAACATTATTCTTCTGGTACAAAAAACGGACATGTGGAGGAGAAACGCCGGTGGCCATGGCCAAAAGTCACAACGACAACTACAGTAACTTAAAAATACTTTCGTTTTCCGCATACTTGTAATCCGGGCCTTTGCCGGGCCTTCGCGAACTGGAGCCCCGNAGGTCACTGGATTCTTTTTGTCTGTGACGGTGAGTCAGTTTTTTTGGAATTTCTCAAAAAGTTGGCACTTTGAAATGTTGACATGATCGAACACTGATCATATGGTCGGCGGCTCATGTGATTCATGTTTGATTGAGGAAACAAAAAATATACAGAGAGCGTCACAGATACTGAAAAAAGAAGTACTGTAAAATGACAGGTATACTAGAATAGTAGAAAAAATCGAAACAGTTTTCAGAATTGTCCAATTGATCTCCCCGTCGCCCTCTCCTTTTCTTCTCGGAATTTG